TTTTTTTTTTTTTTAAACGATGGATTTATTAACTAAATTACATAATTACAACCAAAAAAACACTTCACACTAAACACACATAAAAGACACAAGTCACACAAACAAAGAAGAATACACATAGAAATACTATAATAAAGCCCTCCTCTCCACTCTGTCAGCCCTATTCAGACACCACGACCCCAAACCATCAACGACGCCCACCCAAAAGGCAGAAAGTATGACCGACGACCCAAATACAGAAACTCCCTTCAAAAAAATTGACGGCTAGCAAAACCCCGGCCAAAGGTAACTAATCACCACCGAACAACATCTTTAGGCCTTTGCCACTCCTTCCCCAACACAATTTAGCGACTTCGACTCGAAATCGACCCAGACAAGAGCCGCCGCCTCTGGAGGTACACCCCAACCAAACACTAAGGGAGGGTAGGACGAGAAAGAAGCAGTCGTCAAACCTCAGCTCGACTGCCTACCAACGAGCAATTAGAACCAGCCACCTCAGTCTCGGCATAAAATTGTCAGACACCCCAACACCGCTTGGCCGCCCGAGCACTAGGTAGGGAAAACACCATCATAGGGGAACCGATTTCCCTCCAGACAACCCTCAACAACACATGTGCCGCAAGGAGCCACAGGGGACAAAGCCCCAACCGGAGTTACACGGGAGATTTGGAGAGAGAGAGAGAGAGAGTATTTCTATGTCTTAAAAAAATTTACATGCAAATAATTGACGGTTTGAATTTGATCATAATTTAATATCGGTTGTTTGTTTGATTTTATATTAGGTGCAAGAATCAAACGGTCAAGATTCGTCTAATCCAAAACCAATAGGTTGGAGAAGTTTTTCTTATCATTATTTTTTTTTTTTTTTAAAAAAATAGCTGATCGATTGGTCTAGTTTATTTATAAACATAAATAAATGTTTATAATTAAGAAAAATGTTGATGTCAATTGGTTATACATGTATTACACAAGTGTTATCTTTTATTTTGTACAATATGAATAAAAGTCCATGAATTTTTTTTCTCTAATATACAAGACAAAAAAAAAAAAAAAAAAAAAAAAAAAAAAAAAAATTATGCTGTAATTTACAAATTAATGGCCATTTATTTACCACTTCCCATTTTCACTCCACAATTTTCACTCCCAATTCCCAAACGCCCCACCCAGGAAAATATCCCCCCAGGTTTTGACCCTCCCCCAAAGTCAACCTTCCACGTGTCCGAGCAACCTGCACAGGTTAGCACTCGTCCTAGTTCAACGCATCCCACATCGACCCGCACCGCCGCCTTGCAAACCCGACCCGCTTCTCCTCCAGGTCATACACCACCTCGAACCCCTGCTGCTGGTAGTTCCCCAACAGCCCCGCCGGCCCTCCGCCCCTCTCCGCCTCCTCCCCGCCGTCCATCACCATCAAGCACCCCACCTCCCGCCGCGCGTCCACGTCGGAAAATTCGTAGAAATAATTCCTCCTCGGCAAACCTACGCTCGAATTCCCCGCGAAATGCAGCACCAGACTTGGAACACCGCCCAGTGGCCTCTCCCCGGCCCGCCCGTAGAAGCACGGCTGGAGCCCGGTACGCTCCTCCACCTTCGTCGCCCGCCGGCGGGCCCCCCCGACGCCGGCGACGAACTCCTCTACCACTGTCCGGTATAACTCCCTAGGAAGCATGGTGAACGTGGTCCCTGAGTCAACCACCATCCCTCCGTCGCCCCTCCGGTCGACTCTCCGGAGGCTGATCGGCGCCTGAATCCTTCTTTTTCCTACGGTCACCGCCTCCAGCCCCACGCAGTAAAAGTAGGCGTGCTTGGGGTTGTCGAGCATCGGCGTGAAGGCGTAGCCGCCGACGAATTCGCCAGCCGATTTATTTTTCAGCTTCTCATCCTCGGCATCTCGCCGCCGGCCGAGGATTAGCGGGCTGGGCTTGGAGGCCCGACCCGCATCGAACGGGTGCGCGATCAGGCAGTAGGAGAAGTAGTTGCCGATGTCCGGGGAGGCGGCGGCGAGCTGGGCCGGCAGGGAGAGGTCCCCCCGTCCGAAACCGGCTACGCCGACTGGCTCACCGAGGGTGGTGTGGGCGCAGCCGAAAGTGAAGGCCGGCAGCCGGAGCGCCGCCGAGGGTGGGACGGCGAGCGCGTCGGAGTAGAGGTTGGCGACGAGGCTGCCGTCGCCGTAGGCGTAGTAGAAGCGGGGGCAGGGGCGGCGGCCGCAGCCACCGGTCTCGATGGCGTCGAGGGGGCAGCCGGCGGCGGCGCAGAGGTCGGACTGGGGGAGGGAGGAGTGTGCGGCGGAGCAGGCAGGGGAGTGGCAGGGGACGGGGACGGCGGAGGTGAGGTTTAGCGGCGGGGCGGCGGCGGCGGGCTTGCCGTCGCAGAGGATGCATTGGAAGGGGCGGCAGGGGATCCAGACGAGGTCGCTGCCGGTGTCCATATAGAGAGAGACTAGGTGGCCGCCGAGGGTGAGGGAGAGGGTGTAGTCGGAGCCAGAGGAGAGGGGGAGGGAGACGTGGCGGCGGCTGCGGTGGAAGCGGGCGGAGGAGCGGGTGGCGGCGGAACGGAGGAGGTGGTGGGGGGAGGAGGAGTTGGGGAGGGAGCGGGACAAGGGGAGGAGGAGGGCGGAGGAGGAGAGAGAGGGGAGGAGGGAGATGGAGAGGAGAGAGAATATGAGGGATAAAACAGAGGAGGCCATTGTTGGGGAGGAAGAAGACGAGAGCGTACTTGTTTGTATGGGCTCTCTGTAAAATTCTGTGTGCGTGTGTGTGTGTTTTCACTTTTCAGTGAGTGTTAGCTAATAAGGCACAAAAGTGTGGACAATTATTTAGAATTGTGCGGGGGAGAGTGTGTAGAGTGTAGTATATAAAGGCTGAATATATATGATGATGATGTTAAGAAGAGTCCAGGAAGTTTCTGCAGTTCAATTGATATAATAAAATTGTTTTTTTTTTTTTTTTTTGGTACAATGAATGAGGCCGACTGGCCGAGGCCTAGGAAAAACTACGTATACCCAACCGAAACACCAACAGCCAACGACGCGAGCTTATCGGCCGAGAAATTCCCTTCTCTATAAATATGGGTTAATAGACAAGGCCAAAAGGCCCGAACAGTCACTGCCTTCTTTTTATTCTTTTTTTTTTTTTTTTTGGTACAGGGACCTTCCGGTTTCCGGATCCACAGGGGAACCGACTAATCCGGAATCGAGCCGGGTAGGACCACAAGAGCGGCAAAGCTCTCCCTCAAGAGTTTTAACACTGAGGCATTCCCAGGGCTCGAACTCGAGACCACTGGTTAAGCTGAAAAAGACCCAAGTCATCTCATCCAAGCGCTCTTGGGTACTTTTTTTTTTTTTTAAATTGAACTTGAATAGGCATGGACAAAACAACGTTTCAGTTCATGAGTTACGATCAACGGTCCAGGCCAATTCCAAAACCGTGAGGTCAACATTTAGGTTTCACTTTTGGAAAATGTTACGATCTCGTTACCGAACCATTCCGAAATGGTTAACTAAGAGTAGTGTTATTTTCTTTTCTTTTTTTTTTTTTTT